TCTGACCCAAAAGCACACAGGAATAATAACAGGAATAAGCAATGAATGACTCTGACCCAAGCATCTTTGATACAAAGCGACAACAGGAATCAGCGAGAGAAATGTCTATGACCCACACTTCCTTTGATACATACAACAGGAATCTCAGTGATGTCCCCCAAAGAGTTGTTAGCACAAATGTTCCACAGAGTGAGGACGGCGGGAAGGAGAACGGAGGAAGGCTCCCACGGTGTCGTCTGCAGATGAGCGACGTCACCAAATGTAGGTTACCTCCCCCCCACATGTCTCCCCACCATACACAATCTTCCTTATAACCCTAAATTTGACACCTGGTTACTCCGTGAAACCCCCCTTTCTTCTACTAGCTCAAACCAGCAGGTTCCTGGACTGTAGCGCACGTAAGATAACTACCCGACTTGTCTATCAGACCTATCGCGGTGGAAGTCTTTCTTATCTCCACTTAACCATATTAAAGTCTGTGGATCTTAAGAGTTTTTATTGTAAGTGTTTGGCGTACAGTCTAGACAGCCATTGATGACTGCTAAGTATAGGTGGAGGAGCTCGTAAATGGATGGATTCAATGATGTGGATTGGGGTTGCAGGTTGACACTTGACACACAGTGGGAAAACCTTGCAACCACTCTGGAAGGTCCGTAGATGACCAGACACCAGTCTGGAAAACAAGGACTGCTGTTTCCTTTAGAGTACAGACTTGATGCTTGTCCCATCTGTTCTGTACCAGTTGTGTGTTGCGGTAGATATCCATTCTTGTTGGCATTGGCGGTACGGAGGAGATCTCTAGTAGAGTGGTAGATTGTCTGACTTGGATGGCCAAGACCTCCTGATTTCGCCAGAGAGTCTGCTAGTTCATTTCCAGGAATTCCAACATGTACTGTAACAGAGCTGTTGGCTGGGAGCCAAGGTTATTGATTCGGCAATGCTCTCGAGAAGAGATTCTTGGCCGGAGTAACAGGTTTAAAGGGTGTAAAGTGGCAGAAGCGGTGAAAGTCCAAATTATTAGAGGTGACACCAAGCAGATTCATTTTTTAAAAAAAGATTTTCCCAGCGATGTGACGAGTTGAGATTGAGGGATTCCTCTCCGAGGGTGGCCGTCCGGTATCTTTGGAAAGCTGGGACAGGAGAAGATTATCCACTGTTTGTTCTGCACCCTGGAAGTGGGGAAAAAATCGGATCCCCTTTCAAAATTCTGCATAGCCTGCTTGGACGTAGCTATGGCCAGCTATGTTGTGAGTATAATTAGTAAACTTTGACGGCAACGGAAAAACGTGAATTTGAAGAAGAATGAAGGTTAAATGGAGACAGATGAAATTTATATCTAAGAAATTCTATATGAAGTTTATTCATTTGATTTTTTTTTATTTCATATCTTTATCCTAAAAAATAAATATGCGAGTGTAGAGAAGAAAGGCAGAAACTTATTAGTAAACAACACACACATAGCGCACTCTGTAGGTGGAGGATGGAATTAAAAATATGCATACACTCATGGACAAAACTTTAGGAAGTGGAAAGTCTTTGATATTGCCATTTGTCTATTTTTTTTTTTAAGGAGACAGCGTTAACTTTGTTCACAATTAGTTATCTCGTGTGTCTTCAATAAAAGTTACTATGTATGAAATATTTTCATAATTATTGTCTGAATCCCGATATACATGCTAAAAGGCACAACTTCCTTAAGTTTTCTCTATGAGTGTAATGGTTTAAATTGACGAAATCGCTGTGAAGGTTGCCAACTGATGAACCCAGCCTTCTCAATTCTTTTCACCCTCAGTTCGCTCATTATAGAAATATGTCTTATAGGATTTGAAGAAGAAAGAGCGTGGAATAATTCCAACCTGAGCATAAAAATTATTAGTGAAATAGGAAAGAAGCAAATGGATAGGACACCCTATAAGTGAAGAAATTAGTTTCTGCTCTTTTAATGCTTAGTAAGATGTAATGCCTAGAAGAAGATAAGAATCCAGAAGGTTGAGCAAGAATCCTCGGCCATTTGAACAAAAAAAGGGGCAATAACTGAACAGAATGGAGACCACACTGTCCACATTAAGATTAAAAATAGAAGGAAATAACGGTTCCCACATCTTCAAATATAAATAATAACTATTAGAACTGCACAAATCCGGATGTTTAGGACATCAAATTTAGCTAAAACTTCGTAAATATTCGGACTAAAATTTGAGGAAGTATCTTTAGAAAAAAAGGTTTTTTAGTTTGAATCACCATCAAGGGTTTTTCATGTGATAGCAAAATGATCATACTGGGGTTTACTAATGTTTACTTTAGATCGTGTGGAAAATTAGACGTAATATTTAGGGGTTGAAGAACTTCCTCTTACAAAAATAGCGGAAAATTTATGATAGCTAGTTCATTTTTAAAGTGGGATATATATTTTTTTCTGGCGTAGAGATGTAATTTGCGAGTTCTTTGTTCGCTTTCTTCTAGGGACCAACCAAGAGTGCAAAGATTATATGAGGAAGGGGAGAAGGGTCGTTGCCCCTAGGGTCAAGTTAAGGGGCTTATCTATTGAAGGGTATGCACCACCACCACCAGGGCCCCCCAATAAAAGGCGCCATCCCGCGCCTATCACCTGGCCAAACGTAAGGTGGGGGAATCCCCCCACCTCTGACAAATATGGCGAAATTTGATGGGAGATTTGCCATCTTAAGATACCCACTCATAAAATGTGCCCAAACTTTTAGATACGCGAAGAAGAAGGGAAAAAAGTTTCCTCCATCAAGAACAGTTTATCGATAGATATTATATAATATGGTTGGTCAATGTTTTTTTAGTAGTTGATAAACGTTATTATTTGTGTATTTAAATGATAGTTATTATTATCACAGGAAACTCTATTATTAAGGCCACAAAGCCTATCATGGTACTTCCCTAGTGGGACTAGAACGTGTTTAACTCTTTTTTAGACGTTTTAATTCAAAATTTTATCATTCTCTACACGCCACAAGAAGCTATCTCTCTAATTTGATCAAAAATTTAATTTAAAAAATTCTTAAACTCCTTCTGGGTTTAACACTTTCTACTTTCACCACTGTGTATAATTATAAGGAGGCAATGTGCACCCGCGGGAATTACTATAAAACCCGCCGTGGAAATGCATTGTAGCATTCCACAAATCATAATGCAGTTAGCAATAAAATTGTAAATTGGCTTAAATTACTGCAAACCTTATGATATATATAAGAAATAGAGTCTACAAGGCCTTAGTCATCGTTCTGAGGAGATTAATTGAATCGCCGAATGCCGTGGTCCATTTGGATGAGGAAAGCGAAGACTAAAACGCGGCTGATTCCACACTCGCCTGTTCAGTGATTCGCTAACCATGACGTATGCACGAAGGAACGTGTGGCCATTGGACATGTGTCGGACCAGGAGGCTGTTGTTGGGTATTGAGCTACCTGGAGTATAGGAGCTCCATCTATTATTTCTTCCTGTGATGAATCTGTATAAGACCGTTGGTCTTAATAAAGCTTTGTGTGTGTTTGTGCTATAAGAAATAGAATCATAAAGTGCGAATATTTCTTTTATATATTTTATGTAGTAAGGAAGGATACACAAGTAGTAGTGTATGTTTCATTTGTATTTGTCTTTATAGTTTGCTGAAGAGCATTGCTCGAAGCAAATATTTGAATGTAATTCTACTGTCCTATAAGCTTATGTCCATAGTTTACTTGAAAACCATTTCTATGATTCCATCCTTCAGTGTAGCATATAGAAGCAGAATGATCCAATACAGTATTAGAGCTCTGAGAAGCGGTCTGGTGGATTAAATTGGCACAACCGCTGGGAGGGTTCACCACTGATGAGCCAAGCCCTCCCAATATATTTTTTCATCGCAGTAAGGACAGTAGAAGTTCGTTTTATGTATAAAAGAAACATTCGTGCTTTTAAATCCTTTTATTTTATTAAAAATATGCGCGCTTTATAGTTCTATCTCTTATCTATAGATGGCGCGTTAGTCACATTAAAAAAATCAATTAAGTTTTCTATAAATCTCTCTCTTTCTATATCATATGAAAAAGTACTTTCATATTTATACTATCTAGATATCTCAAATATGCTTCAATTTAATATCGAATTTTATCTTTATGTCTTCTATTACTATATATAAACGAACATTTTAAAAATATACATTATTTAAAATGAAGACTCCTTAAAAATCGTTTTTGACTCTATTTGAAGAAGAAATAACAAAAACATTTAAATTAGACAAATCTCAAATATCTCTCAAACAAGAATAAAAACTTGATATCTACAATAGAAAATTATTTTCAAATTCTTTGAGTTTGTGCTTCTCTTATTTTTCAATTATTTTAAAAGTAATACAAATAAAACAAAATGTTTTCATATTAAATAATTGAAAAAATATATAACTCCATCAAATACTGTATATACTTTTGGAAATATTTTCTTAATAAAAAGAAAAAGATCTTAGAGTTTTACCTATATATTTTCATTTTCTATATCTATATGAATTTCGATGAATAAATATTCCATTAATTTTATCTTTTCTATGTTATATTAAATTTAATAATGATATTTTATTTATTCAAATATTTCTATAAAATCATTCTATATATATATAAATTAAATTTAATGTAATTAAGAAAAAATATATAAGAATATAAATTTCCTCCGGCAAGATTTCCATCTATAAAATATATATATATTTATTTCTACCAAACGATTTATTTTCTGTGATATTTTCAATTAATTTCCATCATATTTTTATAACAATTTATAAATACTGTAACACAAATAACATATATACTTTCTTAAATAAAATACGCATTTTCTATAGATATATATTTCATAAGCAATTAGATGAATTTATTTTTTCCTTTAAATTTATTTTTATAGAAATTCAACCGCCCTACTTAAAAGTCAGTACCAAGAGTTTAGGAGTTTTCATCCATTTATTAATTGGTTGTATATAAGTGGCGTTTTTAATTGACAGTGTGAACTAAAGCATATTTTTTTTTATAAAAATATTTTATTTTAAAATTATATTTAATCTCTCTCTATCTCTAAAAAAAAAAAAGATTTGCTTGTAAAAATTTGATGTAGGGACCAATTTATAAGTCTCACTCTATGCTCTTCGTACATTGAGAATATAAATAATAATAATTAAAAAAAAAAAAAAGAATCCATTTTCCCGTTTATTTTTATTAGGTAGAGTTAAATATATATTTGTGAAACATAAAGTCTCACACACACTTACTTTATTTTTAACTTTTTAAGGTAAAACTTTTAAAACATTTTGAATTGGCGATCATTCTATCAATTCATTCGTAGAACAGGCTAATGTTCTAGTATATTATATAAATATTTAAATATTTAGTGCGAACACTTTTTTACAAAAAAAGTGGGGAATATTATATACAAGCAATATGTACTTAATGTGCTGATAATATTCGTTATTAAAATTAAAAGTAAATAAAATCCACGACGATTATAAATTATTTATATTTGGAATATGTATTTTTCAATACTTCAATTTTTATTTTATATAGATTATGATTCAAACGTACTTACGTATTTTATTTAATTTACTTATATATATTTATTTTGTAATCCTAAAAAAATTAACAGCTAAACCATCTTTTGCTTAATGTTTTTATTCCGCTAGCATCTTATGCTTTGTATGATGATGATAAGCCAAAACACTTGTTCTATATTACTCACACAATATCACATATTATACGATACAATTAAAAATTGAAACAGAAAAAGAAAATTATATGTGTAATAAATATTGAATATTGTTCATATATGTTGGGTGACAATATTTAAAAATATACGAACATAAAAACTATTTTTAGAAAAATTAGATCTAATTAAATTCCAGTTTCTCCTCTCGATTTAAAAACAGATGCTTTACGTCTGATATATTTTACCTGGGGGAATAAATGATTACTGAACGTTGCGTGAACCGTGGTGTGAAGTTTATAACCAGGGGGATGATGAAGGAGGTGTCTAGGGGATGTATTCAACCTCCGCACTCCATCTTCCCGCGTTAACCCTCCATGTCTTTATAAAGGCGAACCAAACTCCTACCCAAAACGGAACGAAATTTATAGCCGACATTGAATCCATAAACTAAAATGTTCGGTTTTATATATTTATAAAAGGCATAAAATTAATGCGTGGATGAAGGGAAGCCGATTATATTTATATATTTAAAAACTAAAACAGCGCTAGAATTTTTGGTCAAGTATTAAATAAAATATTCATTAGAAATTTCAAAAAGGTGTATCGTGTGTGTATGTAGAAAATTCAGATATATCTTCATTCAAAGGCTTGATTTAAATTAACAAGGATAGAGCTATGGTCGCCCCGAGTGTTGGATGCTCCCAGAAAATATTTTTTTGCGGCATTCATCTTTCACTTATACGTCCTTTCCCCCTTCCAAGTCTTACAACTAATCTTTCTATATTATATCGACTTAAAATTGTGGAAAAATAATAGTATTGGTAGTTATAAATTAGTATTTTGAACGTTATGATTATTTGTCACTTTGCAACCCTCTTGCGAGCTTTAAAAACATTTTTTTTTAATCCGATATATTAAACTATATCTTCAGCTATCTATATCTAAAATTTCTTTAATGTTTAATTTAATAGTTTTGGCGGAGAAAAGTAACACACTTCGATTTAGCATTTTCATATTTTATATCTACACTCATGGACAAAACTTAAGGAAGTTGTACCTTTAGCATGATATTACAGTAACTTTTATTGAAGGCACACGAGATAACTAAGTGTTAACAAATTGCCTATGTCTTCTTCAAAAAATTAAAGTTTTATCCATGAGTGTATATCGACCCAAAATTGAAATATAAGTATTGGTAGTTTTAAATTATTTGTTACTTAGTGACCCTCTGGAGAGATTTTTTTTAGAAATAGTTTTTAAATAGCTGATATATTGAACTATATCTTTAGTGATATTTCTTGATTTCTTAATTTTCCCTTAACTCAGTTCACAGCTAAATATACACGGTATTTTTGTTGTCTAGAGGTGTTTCAACTAGTTGTGTCAACATTGATTCAAATCATCCCTTCGTTCTCTGATAAATCCTTTATCGAAGCAGAAGTTGGAGTTTCCCGGCCGCAAGAAGGAAGTCCCCAGATATTATCAGCATGCTCATCTTTTGATTGTTGCTCAGAAGGCGTTATATAACCCGCCTTCTAGCATCAATCATAGTCTGGGCAGGCTACCAAACGTCGTCTGGGGACTGTCCTGCTGTCACCCAGCAATGTCGCGGTGTAAGTACTACGCTGTCACCCAGCACTGTCGCAGTGTAAGTACTACGCTGTCACCCAGCACTGTCGTGTTGTAAGTAATACGTTGTCACCCAACACTGTCGCGGTGTAAGTACTACGCTGTCACCCAGCACAGTCGCGGTGTAAGTACTACGCTGTCACCCAGCACTGTCGCGGTTTAAGTACTACGCTGTCCTGCTGTCACCCAGCACTGTCGCGGTGTAAGTACTGCGCTGTCACCCAGCACTGTCGTGTTGTAAGTACTACGCTGTCACCCAGCACTGTCGCCAGTGTAAGTACTACGCTGTCACCCAGCACTGTCGTGTTGTAAGTACTACGCTGTCACCCAGCACTGTCGTGTTGTAAGTACTACGCTGTCACCCAGCACTGTCGTGTTGTAAGTACTACGCTGTCACCCAGCACTGTCGCCAGTGTAAGTACTACGCTGTCACCCAGCACTGTCGTGTTGTAAGTACTACGCTGTCACCCAGCACTGTCGCCAGTGTAAGTACTACGCTGTCACCCAGCACTGTCGTGTTGTAAGTACTACGCTGTCACCCAGCACTGTCGTGTTGTAAGTACTACGCTGTCACCCAGCACTGTCGTGTTGTAAGTACTACGCTGTCACCCAGCACTGTCGTGTTGTAAGTACTACGCTGTCACCCAGCACTGTCGCGGTGTAAGTACTACGCTGTCAACCAGCACTGTCGTGTTGTAAGTACTACGCTGTCACCCAGCACTGTCGTGTTGTAAGTACTACGCTGTCACCCAGCACCGTCGCGGTGTAAGTACGCTGTCACCCAGCACTGCCGCCAATGTAAGTACTACGCGGTCACCCAGCACTGCCGCCAGTGTAAGTACTACGCTGTCACCCAGCACTGTCTTGTTGTAAGTACTACGCTGTCACCCAGCACTGCCGCCAGTGTAAGTACTACGCTGTCACCCAGCACTGCCGCCAGTGTAAGTACTACGCTGTCACCCAGCACTGTCTTGTTGTAAGTACTACGCTGTCACCCAGCACTGTCGCGGTGTAAGTACTACGCTGTCACCCAGCACTGTCGTGTTGTAAGTACTACGCTGTCACCCAGCACTGTCGTGTTGTAAGTACTACGCTGTCACCCAGCACTGTCGCGGTGTAAGTACTACGCTGTCACCCAGCACTGTCGCCAGTGTAAGTACTACGCTGTCACCCAGCACTGTCGTGTTGTAAGTACTACGCTGTCACCCAGCACTGTCGTGTTGTAAGTACTACGCTGTCACCCAGCACTGTCGTGTTGTAAGTACTACGCTGTCACCCAGCACTGTCACGGTGTAAGTACTACGCTGTCACCCAGCACTGTCGCGGTTTAAGTACTACGCTGTCCTGCTGTCACCCAGCACTGTCGCGGTGTAAGTACTGCGCTGTCACCCAGCACTGTCGCGGTGTAAGTACTGCGCTGTCACCCAGCACTGTCGTGTTGTAAGTACTACGCTGTCACCCAGCACTGTCGCCAGTGTAAGTACTACGCTGTCACCCAGCACTGTCGTGTTGTAAGTACTACGCTGTCACCCAGCACTGTCGTGTTGTAAGTACTACGCTGTCACCCAGCACTGTCGTGTTGTAAGTACTACGCTGTCACCCAGCACTGTCGCCAGTGTAAGTACTACGCTGTCACCCAGCACTGTCGCGGTTTAAGTACTACGCTGTCCTGCTGTCACCCAGCACTGTCGCGGTGTAAGTACTGCGCTGTCACCCAGCACTGTCGTGTTGTAAGTACTACGCTGTCACCCAGCACTGTCGCCAGTGTAAGTACTACGCTGTCACCCAGCACTGTCGTGTTGTAAGTACTACGCTGTCACCCAGCACTGTCGTGTTGTAAGTACTACGCTGTCACCCAGCACTGTCGTGTTGTAAGTACTACGCTGTCACCCAGCACAGTCGCGGTGTAAGTACTACGCTGTCACCCAGCACTGTCGCGGTTTAAGTACTACGCTGTCCTGCTGTCACCCAGCACTGTCGCGGTGTAAGTACTGCGCTGTCACCCAGCACTGTCGTGTTGTAAGTACTACGCTGTCACCCAGCACTGTCGCCAGTGTAAGTACTACGCTGTCACCCAGCACTGTCGTGTTGTAAGTACTACGCTGTCACCCAGCACTGTCGTGTTGTAAGTACTACGCTGTCACCCAGCACTGTCGTGTTGTAAGTACTACGCTGTCACCCAGCACTGTCGCCAGTGTAAGTACTACGCTGTCACCCAGCACTGTCGTGTTGTAAGTACTACGCTGCCACCCAGCACTGTCGCCAGTGTAAGTACTACGCTGTCACCCAGCACTGTCGTGTTGTAAGTACTACGCTGTCACCCAGCACTGTCGTGTTGTAAGTACTACGCTGTCACCCAGCACTGTCGTGTTGTAAGTACTACGCTGTCACCCAGCACTGTCGTGTTGTAAGTACTACGCTGTCACCCAGCACTGTCGCGGTGTAAGTACTACGCTGTCAACCAGCACTGTCGTGTTGTAAGTACTACGCTGTCACCCAGCACTGTCGTGTTGTAAGTACTACGCTGTCACCCAGCACTGTCGTGTTGTAAGTACTACGCTGTCACCCAGCACTGCCGCCAATGTAAGTACTACGCGGTCACCCAGCACTGCCGCCAGTGTAAGTACTACGCTGTCACCCAGCACTGTCTTGTTGTAAGTACTACGCTGTCACCCAGCACTGCCGCCAGTGTAAGTACTACGCTGTCACCCAGCACTGCCGCCAGTGTAAGTACTACGCTGTCACCCAGCACTGTCTTGTTGTAAGTACTACGCTGTCACCCAGCACTGTCGCGGTGTAAGTACTACGCTGTCACCCAGCACTGTCGTGTTGTAAGTACTACGCTGTCACCCAGCACTGTCGTGTTGTAAGTACTACGCTGTCACCCAGCACTGTCGCGGTGTAAGTACTACGCTGTCACCCAGCACTGTCGCCAGTGTAAGTACTACGCTGTCACCCAGCACTGTCGTGTTGTAAGTACTACGCTGTCACCCAGCACTGTCGTGTTGTAAGTACTACGCTGTCACCCAGCACTGTCGTGTTGTAAGTACTACGCTGTCACCCAGCACTGTCACGGTGTAAGTACTACGCTGTCACCCAGCACTGTCGTGTTGTAAGTACTACGCTGTCACTCAGCACTGTCGCGGTGTAAGTACTACGCTGTCACCCAGCACCGTCGTGTTGTAAGTACTACGCTGTCACCCAGCACTGTCGTGTTGTAAGTACTACGCTGTCACCCAGCACTGTCGTGTTGTAAGTACTACGCTGTCACCCAGCACTGTCACGGTGTAAGTACTACGCTGTCACCCAGCACTGTAACGGTGTAAGTACTACGCTGTCACCCAGCACTGCCGCCAGTGTAAGTACTACGCTGTCACCCAGCACCGTCGTGTTGTAAGTACTACGCTGTCACCCAGCACCGTCGTGTTGTAAGTACCACGCTGTCACCCCAGCACTGTCGTGTTGTAAGTACTACGCTGTCACCCAGCACTGTCGCGGTGTAAGTACTACGCTGTCACCCAGCACTGTCGTGTTGTAAGTACTACGCTGTCACCCAGCACTGTCGCGGTGTAAGTACAACGCTGTTACCCAGCACTGTCGCCAGTGTAAGTACTACGCTGTCGCCCAGCACTGTCGTGTTGTAAGTACTACGCTGTCGCCCAGCACTGTCGTGTTGTAAGTACTACGCTGTCATCCAACATTGGTACTACATAAATACTTTACTAGTATTCTTTTAATAGACTGAAACACTGATGTGTGCATCATTTAATTTGTCAACATTACGGTACAGAGATATGTAAAATTGGCCATTACGACTTGGGCACTCCTGAAAAAAAATTTTTGAGATGTATATATGTATAGTAATTTAAACCAACAACCCCATATTGTATGTTACTTATAACAAGATTTCCATGTTGTATAATAAACACTTCTGTAAATAATTATACGCATGATTGACATGTGTCATTACATCATCATATGTAATGTACTTTGTACAAACTGAGGATGAATAAATAAAACTCTGTTGAGCTAAAGCAAGAGATTGAGATAGAAGTCCAACGAGGCCTAGAAGATGTCAGGGCGTTGCCAGTGTAAAATGATTCTCTTCCGATCCACGCCCTTGTTGCATCCGCTGAAATCCAATACTTCCTCTCTGCAAAGATATATAAAGCTGCCAATTCGCGGAAATAGATAGTCACTTCACCATCAGCGGAAACCCTCGTCAGATGTCCCCAAGGTCCGCACCATCGACCATGTAGACCAGTAAGAACGTTTCTTCTATCTCCATCTTTCGCTGCTTAGCTCGACTCCTATCTGTTCAAGGAACTTTCCTGCTACAACTGTGTCTCTTCGTTTTTCGTGTGGACATTCCCAAGCTTTCCACTCTGCCTCAACCACGACTGCCTGTACTCTGTGAGAACTGTTAAAGGTCTTCCAAGGTGCAGAGAGGTACTGGAAAACTCTCCACATCCTGACTGTTCCTCTCGGTTAACACAGTATAGTGAGAGTCGACAGGATTCAACATATGTATATTTATTTTACCAAAAATTAATTTTCTCTAAAAAAGATTGATTTAAAAAAAATACTACAGTTGTTTAAAAAAAAAAAAAAAAAATAAAAGAAAGTTTGGAGGAAAGTCTTTGAGTTAAAAATTTGTGTACAAATATTTATATAAATAAATTCTCTCTCTCTATATCCATATCAATGTTTGTCGCACCAGATGACATATTGTGTATGCAAATTCGTTGGTACTCGCATTACACAAGTTTTTTTTTCTATCCAAATGCATTGTGTCACCGCGGATGTAAAAAAAAAAAAGAAAAAACGATTTTTTCCAACCGCTGCAGAAAGAACTGAAAAGCCCCCTCCCTCCTGTCAGAAGGATACCACCCAACCCCTGCTATTCAGGAAGGAAGCAAAGGGTAAAAATGTAAAAAAAAGAGTTCGGGGATTCAAACAACGGTTTCTCTATTGAGAAAAGGGGGGGAGGAAGGGGGTATGTCAGACCTTGACACAGATTATGTATCGTTCAAGGTCACACATGTGTTCCCTAAATTTGGCTTTATTCAGAGCCAGCTGTAGCAACGGGTGACATTTCCCTGTCCGTTATCTGATTTGTGACATCCTTTGACAGCGGTTGTTGGAAACATATCACGTTACATTATCCTTGAGATAGCTAAGGCAAGTTCCCCCTGTACACAGAACTGAGGGAAGTCCCTGTCTGGAGGGAGAACTCTCTCTAAATGGAGGAAGGCTGAAGTTCTAAATATGTAAATATGATTTTATATAACATAATTCACTTATGAAAAAAAGGCATCTTCTGATCGTGCAACTTAAAGGAAGATCGTTGATTTATAATTCTTCCAGAATTGGCCAAATACTCATCCCTTCATATCTCATCCCTGGGGTTAGAAATAATCGTTATTTCTCCTAAAAATAAATTTTGATTTTTCGTTGAAAAGAAACTCATGCGGGATAATTTCAAGTTTCGTTTTACAAATACTCATTCTTGTTTATTCAAGAATAGCTAACCACGTACGGGTTTCGGGCTGTTGGTTCTCATCAGCGTGGTGCAAGCTGTACCTCAACGACAATAATAATAAACCTTCAACTAAAAGTTGATTTTTTATACACCTACGTGGTTAGCTTTTCTTGATTAATCAAGAATGGGTATTTAGAAATCCTGGAATAATTTTAAAATAAGTACTGTTGATATTTATTCCGATATATGGCGCAAGCCATCAGCAACTTTTATTTGCATGATCAAGAGATACCTTTTTCTTGTTACTACTCCCCCTTCTCCTTTTTTATCCGGGATTGGGACCGGCAAAGGCGGAGTTTAAAATATTATAGTTGTCTTAAGTGATATTTTGACTTTGGAAATGTTACTTGAGAGATGACTTTGTCCATTTCTTGTCAATCCAGTTTGTTCTTCCACGGTGTCCTGGGGTTAAACCCTCCAAGACCTGGGAGGGAGGGATCTCCCCACATGGTGTCTAACCATTGGTGTATTGTTTCCTTCAGATTCTCTTGGAATGGTGTTAGAGAGAGAGAAATTAGAGGTAACCCGGGCTCCTGGAGCATAAATCACCAACTACCCGGGATGTACAGCTACAGTCTAGAAGTCTAGTCATCTAGGCAGATTGCTGAGGTGAACCAGGTAACCAGGTAGTTCCAGGCCGGCAGGGAGTCAGGAAGTAGGGGCAGAGCTGAAGTCTTGTACTCCAAGCAAGAAATGGTGTTTTCAGAATGTATTCTCTAAATCATAAATGTACTACGTGTTTGCCTATACTCTCCAATAAAATATTCAATATTTCTGTATTTTTTTTAAACAACAACAAAAAGTTTATATATAAATTTGAATGTCTATGTTGGGGACGTTATTTTGATGTACAATTATTTAGTCCAAAATATATATTTATATGATTCCATTTACAAGGTTCTTTCATTAAATTCTCCGGAATGATTTAATTTTTTTTTTTAATCTGACCGTGAACCAAAAAAAAAAAAAAAAAAAGGAGCACGGGTTTGTAACCCATTATTTGAGCCACGAATAAAATCCCCATATTTCCTTAGGATCACCGTATCTATCCCCAAAGACTTATCTACACAATAAACTGTCTCTTAAAGGGCAGCGAGTTGAGAGTCACGAGAAGACATAATGTTCTTCAGAGACTTGAAAGAAGATGGCTATAAAAATGCTACGGGGTTTTAAGAAGATTATTTAATACAACTTTTCTAGAGAAATATCCTTACGTTTCTCCCCCCTAATATTATAATAATCTGTGTTTGCCATTAGTGTGTTGTCGACGGTTTTCTGATACCTAACATTTCGGAACAACGAATATGCATTGGTTTCTGTGTAAAAAAAAAAATAAATTCCAGTTACAGGATTGTTGTTAATGCTTCGAAAGGCATTCGGCAAGATATAGAAACTGAAGACCGGAGTTTATAAATGGTATAGCCACTTTAAAAATGGACATACATACGAAGCTCAATCCAAGATGATCCAAAAGTCGGAAGACCTATAAAGAAAAAAACAGAATACATAAATCAAATTGCAGAAAAAAATTGCCATAAGTAATAAATTGTCATACCAGAACATTCGGCGATAACGAATCCTTCGATGGGATTGGTTCATTCCATTATTCACGACAATATGCAATTGGAAAAGAAGTTCGGCAAGTTTTGGGTTTCCAACTAACACCAGATCTCAATCGGCTGTTTTGGATATTTGGGCCCAGAATACAATATTTATATATTTCTTCAGGCCCCCATACTCACCGTATCTATCCCCAAATTACTTATCTATACAGTAAACTGTCTCTTAAAGAGCAGAGATTCGAGTCACGAGAAGACATAATAGGAAAATCGCCGACTCGGAGATTTGAAAGAAGACGACTCTAAAAAAAAAAAAAAAATGCAACGAAAATTGGGAAGCGAGATGGCTTAACTGCTTAGATGTGGAATGAATTATTTCGAAGAATTTTAAATACAACTTTATTTTGAATTTGTATTATTTCTGATTTTTTTTTTAAATCCGGAAATTTGATGAAAGTACAATGCAGCAAAATTTTTGCACTTATAACCATTGATTCCTTAAAATTCATTTAATGATATTTTTTCGGTATCCTCCCCCCAAACGTATTTAATCTTACACTCTACTACAGCTATGATGTGATCCACATATGAAATCATATATATATGTCATACCACAGGCATTATCAGTCATGGGGTCAAGTGGTTTCAGGCATCTATGGGTAACACAAAGGACGAGGTAGGTTGGATGGCACCTGAGAGAGGCCAGCCGCCGAAGACGTGGAAAGGTCTAGGAGGGTGTGATCTGTACGAGAATGAGAGATGATCTGTTGCTGTCCGGCCTGTTTGTCGGTATCCGGCGTCGGTCGTAAAACTCATTAAAGACTTATGGAAGTTCCCTGGGAGGAAATGATGTAATCTTTACGAACTGGACCCTTATGTGTGGTGGACTCTCAATAAAAATGTATTGTTTGTCTGTTGTTACATGATATCGCCAAGCTGGCATGTTGAAGTTTGCCTACATTTTGTGGCTGTTACACTATTTATAATTATGATACATATGAAAATGTTGTGTATATTGACAAAGAGAATCAGACAGATTCCAAAAGAGCAAAATAACGTTTATTCTTCTGAGCCAGCAGGACCTGTACAGAGTGAAGTGGTGATGCTATGTACAGAGGGTGGTTGGCATCATCCTTAGTTTACATGGTGCACTACGGCATACAGGGTGTGTTCATAAAGTCACACTGCATCAACCAACTAATGTATATATACCCATGGACAAAACTTGAGCAAGTTTCATATTTTTGATGTCGCCAGTCGCCTATATATATATTTTTTTTAAGAAGACAGAGGTAATTTTATACATAATTGGTTATCTCGTGTGTCTTCAATAAAGGTCAGTGTATATATATGTACCACATAAGAATTAGAGATGCCTATATTCAGCTGTCTGTCTCTTACAAAGTATTACATAGAAACTACATATTTCCATACACACCTACACATAGCTAAATGAATAACCTTCAATACATGAAAGAGCACAATTTGGATTATAGATTATAATAAAAGAAAATAAGACCTAATCCAATTATTATTTTATTTTATTATTAAATAAAAAAAACTCTAACTGGCCGAAGTGTCTATTGAGAAATAAAAAACTCCAACTGGCCGAAGTGTCTATTTTTTATAAAGCTATAAATGCCGGCCAGGCAACCTCTATTTTTACGATAATTCAATTATGTAACCTTCAATAGTTTGTGTTAAAAGTAGTTAAAACTTTATGAACACATCC